ATTGGTTCGGTTGCTTGGCATCTGAGTCTGGTAATAATGAGCTCAATGTGCATATTCTGAGCGCCGGACTTACCTTCATGTTTAAGAGTCTGCTTATTGGCCAATTTTCGCCAGATGCCTACTCACAGCTGAGGACTTTGAGTGTTTCACTGGATTGGCAGCTGCTTCCGCTGCCTTGTTTTTGCCTGGGCTTGCGACCTCTCCCTGACTCCAACGCTGTCAATCGCACACATGGTCTTCCTGCTATCACAATTGGCACAGGCGAGTCAACGTGCGTCCGAACTTTTTGTCTGGGAGGACAAGGCATGGTATGTTCAACTTAGTGCATTTGTCACACTTCCGTGGGTGGTGGCGAATGTAATGCTATAAATTATTAATATTTTCTGGCATTGACATGCTGATGCACTTACCTCTACCCGCAGTGGCAATGGTGAAATACAGGCCCAATCGGCAGGCTGTAAGAACGTAAGTCCAAAAGCTGCATTACACCAGAGCAAAAAATTACTCACCCAACTCTCTGCATCCCCAAAACCCCTGTCTTCAGCCATGTCCAATGAGCCCTGTGCTTCCAATGACATCATGTTGTCTGTGGCGACCGGCAAGAATGCCTCCATGGGCTGTGTGAGTGAATTGATCAGTTAGTGTTGTGCTGGAATGGATGGTCAATCTTACCTTGGTGGCACCATCCTTCTTCACTTGGGAATTGACTTCAGTGTCTCCATGTCATCTGTACTGTCGTCAGCTGCCTTTCGCTTTTTACCGGTGTTACCTGGAACAAATATTTAAATTTTGCTGGCTGAGGAGGCGATGGAGGGGGAGGGGTGAGAGCTTCCAGCAAAGCACATATTGGAGATGGCGACCTTGGAACAAGTTCAGCCTCTGGTGTGGCAGTCTTCATGATGACAGCTTCACTAGAAGGTGTCAGTCTGGTGGGTGTGAACATCAACAGCGGAAGGAATGTAGTCAACTGTTTTCCAGAAGCGGGGGTGGCCCTTGATTCTGGGGTCGTTGGGAACAATGGAGCTCCAGTCAGGCAAAGTTTCAAAGACGCCACCCTTTGCATACTGCCATACAATGGCTGCGCAGGACAGTAGCTTCGGGGAGAATGATGTTGCATCATCCCCATAGAGCTTTAAATCTCTTGCCTGCACCAAGTATGTTAATATTCATAAAATCCAATGGTTCTGGAGATCAGTGTTACTCACCACGCATCTGGCTATCTCATCCGATAACTTTAGGGCCTCTGGATCACTGGATGAGCAATTCCACAGCCATCAAGGTGGAATTCAGTGCGTTGTTTGCGGGTTTTGGAAGGTGTCATAGTTGTATTTGGAAAAGCTTATATGTTGTAGTTAATATATGGCAGGAAAAGAGAGGTAACTTGACGGATCTGTGTTCAAGTCTGGCCATTTATATCACAATGTCAGTTGTGGATGGTTCCGAGAAAGTGTCATTGGTGGAAGCACAGTAGTGTGGCATGGGTGTGGTCAATGATGCAATAATGCCACAGCTTCCACCAGCATTGTCTCAAGAATTGCCACAGACTGTGGTCCACATCTCCGATCATATGGTGATCAATTATAACCATTTCCCAGCATTCATTTCAAACCAAAGCATCATGGCTGGACAAGTTCTTTTTGTGACTCCCGATTGCTCAGATGTCGGTGGCATCACCACCGGGTCTTGTGCTACTGAGTATAATACATCGATAAAATGTCCAGCTGGAGAATCTCGTGTACAGGGAAAAGGTCCCATTTGCCATTCAGGCGATTTTGTCCCAGTAGAGTTATGCACACCTCGGAAGTTCTCAATGACATGCAAACAATTGGAAGCTTATTCCGAGATTGAAGTTGAGTATACTGCAAACACACTGTACGATCACTGTTGATCACACAATCTTGATCAATTTCAATAAGGAATGTCCACACACTGTCACTGGATGCACTTTGTATCGCAAATGCTGCATGATATCGAAAAGTGTACTGTCCATGAGATAGCTAGTCTATGTACAACTTCTTATGCTGGGATATTAAGAAATTGGCCAGAAAGTTGGATTTGTCTTTATGAAGCTGGCTTGTGTGTGTTTGGCAAGTTCTTGGTACATGTGGGCCTGCCGAATTGCATAACACTTGTGCCCCTCTAGGAGTGCATCGCCATTCTATGTGAGCCTTGTCAACCACATGCTTGCTTTGAAGAGGAAAACTCCAGGGTCCAACCCATTTCATGTTCAATGAGTATGAGTTCTTCCACCCACTGGTCACACAATGCTTTCATACAGAGCCAATGAACCCAGTAAAACTGTTGTGTCCTCAGTGTCGGCTTGAGAGCTTTGGAGGGGAACCTACATTCATCCATCCAATTGCTGCTGACTGAATCTCCTTGCACATCCAGAGACCAGAACCATGGGAGGGTCGCATTTCGCTGCCCCCAGGCATTCAGGTCAGCTACGGCAGCAGTTGCCTTGAGATGGCTCTTCTCTATCTGGAGATACTTTTTAGCAGGCCATGTGCTTCTAGGTTTCCGAGTTGTGCTCGACACTTCATGTAAATCATTGTGTTGAGTCGGATGACCCTTTCAACTGAATGAACCTGCATCCATGCCCTTGTTGACTTTGCTTGTGATTTAGCCAGACGTACAGTGGTACAAAAGAGCACAGCCTTGTCAGCCAGATGCATTCTGATCGCTTGCAATGTGTCATTCACCTAACCTTCCCAAAGTGCAATTTCCTGACTGAGGAGGTGTTCAACACCTAGCTCAGCACAGCGTGCTATGCCGATATTGGATGGCAGAGGGATCATGACCTTCTCAGGATGGAAGACATCCAGCTGCTGATGTCAATGTGCTTCGGGTTCAGATTCTGTGCCATTACCATCAATTCCTTCATATTCTGAATCGTCGTCCATGAAGTCCACATCCAAATCCCAAATTTCATCATCAACGTTGCCAAGATGAGTCACAGCCACAATGGTAAATTCATCTATCCGACTTTGCACAAGGTTTGGTTCTCCATAGGGTGTCTGCTGAGCTTCCTAATATCCATTGTGAGTGCTATCTGCATCTCTTCTATGGTAATGCCAGATGCAATCCATGTGGCCGCACCACATTGTGCATTCCCGCCCAAATGGGCTCTCCAGGAGGACAGTAAAGCTAGCTCTTGTTGCTTCTGTGTTGGTGCTTGTGAATTTAATTGGTTCTGTGTGGCGAATGTTCATGGAGCAGAGACTCACCCCACCGTAACTGTACTTTGAATATGTCCATAGCAGATGGATCAGTGACTCGACATGAATGAGCATGTCTGTCCTGTTCTTCCCACTTTGCAACCATGTCTGGATCGGCAGTGTTGTTGAGCTTCTCAAAAGCAGCGGTGCTTTCTGTGACACCCTTCATGGCTTCTTTATACTTCCAACACAGAAATCCACCTGCATGATCTCATCAGGAATCATTCACCAATGATGTTTGCAACTCAACTCATGCAAACCATCTTCATGAAATTGGAGTCATTCATCTGGTAATCGAGACACTCCTGCCGGTGGGGGGTGGACATGCCTCTAGCAGTGGGAGATATGATATTCAGAGGTGCCCACAACGTCTCCATAATTTCTCCATCGATCCGAGCTGCCCCAGTGATAAATGTCGATGCATACTGAACATAACACATGTCTTGATGTCTGTGGACATGCCAGAGTCCAATTCCCAGTATAATCTCCATGCCGGAAGGGATATTCAAGTACAGGCTCTCGTTCACCTGACACCTGAAGTACTTGTTATACTGGCAATTAATGTCATAAAATGTGAATGTTTGACTAAGTCCATCGGTGTTGTGGCCCAACGCGTGACATAAGGCGTAGTCCATATTCATTTGTCTAATCGCAGATGTCACCGGAAATCAACTTTGTGCGATACTGAAACATACCTTTCGCCCTTTTGAAAATCCACAATGGAATGGGGCACAAAACAACCGTGGTGGGCACAGGCACACCCTCCTATCCCGGTAGCCTCTAATTTGTGTCGGGATGCATTGGCCTGGTTGACTGCTCAGTGGTTGTTGCATTCGGACAGTTGAACAACATCGTCGGCAACAGCTAGATGAGCCTTGTATCGGTCTTTGGCAACCATGAAGCATTGACCGTCGGTCAACCAGACTTCATCTTCTGGATGAGTGGGATGAAGGTGCTCTGCTTTGAAGTTACCGTCCATGGCCAGTGAACGGGCATACAGCCAACTGGGATCATCAACATTCCTATCGGCCAAGAGTGGAGCATTGATGCCGGGCTGTGGGCAAGCCAGGCAAATGAGGGCGAGTTCACCGGATGTCAGCCTTCTTCGCTCATAAGCAAACCCATTCCATTTGAGGAGCTTCAGCTGTTGCCATTGCCATGCTACCCTCATCAATTCTCTGTAACGGTCCTGTAGGCAATTGAGATTCTGTCACCTGGACATTCTATGCGTGACACGTACTGGGACTAGGTGTGGAAATATGCTCAACGTCATTCTTCTCAACTGGTTGTAGTAATTCATTGCTGAGGTTCCAACCATCCAGTACTGGAAAGGTAAATGCAGTTTTGGTTGGGTGAATGATGCCAGAAACATGCCGATCTCAAATAATTGCTTGTCAGGGGTGCGAGCATTTGGACATTGACAAAACTGTATCATGAGGGAGTGCACTCCAGACTTGTCAACAATGGTGGTGCATTGCTTGCAGTTCAAGAACAGAAGCTCGAGTATGGTAGGGAAGTGCTCTGCTGGTTCATATATGGGCTCATCAGTGTCCTCCCATTCATGGACATCACCAAGTACTGGACAAGGCATCCCCCGATGCCCCAAATGAATTTCCATCCTGATCTTAGTCAAAGATGTTTCTTCAAAGAATCTCCTGTTCCATTTGCCAATCTTATGGAAAGACAGTCTCCGGTGCTCATCTCTGCAGCACTTCGCACAAAATAACGGGTCGCTGAGGCAGTCGTGGCACCTATATACAGTTGAATCACTGCCACACAAGCAGCATGATTTGTCTGCAGGTGGAGCCTCTCATTCATGGAGGATCATGAGGTAATCATCGGTCTGGAATATCCATTCCCGGAGATAATCATTTGGGCTCTGGGATGTCGGTCAGTGTGGGACACATGGCATAAACACTGTAATGCACCTTTGTCTTCTTTCTCCCTGACTGTATGTTGAGGGCACCAATGGGTTCCCTGTTGCCAAAGTCTTCATAACCAGCATTGAAATTGGTTGACAATTGATGCCATGGACTATTGGAAATGTGTTTTATGGGGGATTTTGCTGGAGATGATTGCATGGATAGGCTGGGCTGAGTTGATTTGACTGGGCACCACTTCCCTTTCACGCCGCGAGTGGTCTCCTTCATCTTCCATGTCACCCAGTACCCCGTGCCTTATGGAGCCAATGTCCATACCCTGGACTTGCCCATGTGGGTACTGAGAACTTGTGTGAAATTTAGGACATTTGAATTTGTATTCTATCTCATGGCTCGCTTAATAGCCGAAGTGAAGCATAAATTGAGTAAAGGTTGCAAATATTTAAAACAAGACCCTATTCGCTCTGTAACCTTGTCCTTCAATAATGTCCGACCACAACTCTACCTCCGATTCAGAGTCCAACAAACAACCTCCAGCATGTGAGGAAGAGGTTGCTGTCCTACGGTCTTACCTCGAGCAATGGCACTCAGCTGCTCCATCTGAGTGAAAGAATATCTTGAAAGCAGCTACAACAGCAGCCTGGACAAAGCGCCAGTGATGTCAATAGTCCTGACCAAGGCTCAAAAAGCAGTGCACTACCATTAAACTTTTGGCATATCATGCACTCTTCTCATTATATATTCAGACATACAAGACATGGTTCTGGAACCATGCGAAGGTGAAGTAACCGGGGAAGCCCCCGATCAAGATGGGTCAGAAATGGACTGAGAGAAGTGTCATAGACATGCTCTAGAAGAAGGAGCTCTTGAAAAAATTTGAGGACAAGACCAGTGCCAAACCTGGAACGAAAGAGATGATGAATCATTACATGGTCCATCTGAACCAGCTGATGGCATCACTTTCACCGGAAGACCTTGAAGAAGCCAAAGAGACCACCAATGAATGGAATAGTCAGGGTGTTCCAGACAATGTCAAAGTCAAGATTGCAAGAAAGAAGGGTGACGATGGAAGGGGCCACACTGGACAAGGGACTCGGACCAAGCAGAAAGCAAACACAGGTGGAATAGGGTGAGGACTGACTACTGACATGCACTAGGTACATATACCTAGTGCCTCGAGGCCCAGGCAGGACCCCTGGCACCTCAGGCAGACCCCTAGAAGCCAAACCTCCCTACTACAACAACATGATCTGGCACTTTGCAGCCGAGATGTGGAACTGTGTGGGGATGAGGGTGTTCATTTTGTCAGCTTGGAAAGATGGAGAGAGCAAGGTCCAGGTGGCCGGGTATGTTTTCCGACCACGGTGATCCCCAACTTCTCACTTGACAGACAGACATGATTATAACCAAGAGTTTGGTGGTACTGAGTCTTTCATGAAGACTCACAAGTGGGATGTTATCCAGCCTGAATGGGACGCATATGCTGCGAGCATACTCGGTAAGTGACTTCATAATGTATCTGGTGGAAACTAACTGCGATCAGAGGGTGATGTCAATGAAAACATGGTTGCTCACAAGAAAGGTAGACAGGACAACACATATACCCTCGACATCGGAGATCATGGATATCCAGTCATCCCAGCATGCAAGTCCATGGATTTAGATACCAAGAAGGCAGTCATCCAGGCATTTTGACTTGGCACTACAGTGAGCTGGTCTCTGTCTTCCGATGGATTTCATAACCTAAGCAACCCCAAGGAAAGTGTTGTGGGGACCTCAAAGTCTCCGTACCATGGAAGTATGTGATACCCAGGTACAACAAGATCATTCCCATACAATATCTTCCAGAGGGACATAATCTTGCAGAGCCATCAAAGCTAAGACAGGTCCAAGCAACAGAGTTGTTACAATTTTGGCATAACAGGCAGGAGGAAGGCGAAGAGCACATCTTCGAATTCATAGGATGGTGGGATAATGATAGTCAGGACATTGTCCTGGCAACTGACCAAGACCAGAGGGTCACACGCTGGGCACAGCCAACAACCCAGACGAAGACATCAGGGTCAAAGTCAAAAAAGTCCATTCATCCCCAGCAATCTACATCTGGAAAATCGTCTATGGGTGAAAAGGTGAGGGCGAAGGAACCAACTGCTGCATGTCTTTCCAGAGTCAGGGCAACCATGAATCACTCAGCTTCAGCTCTTGGAACAAAGGGTTGGGGATCAAAAGACAGGTATAAGGCATCAGACGAGGATCCTCATGATGCCGAGACCACAACTGATGTGTCTTCCGCCGAACTATTGGATGACTCTGAGGATGATGTCCCGTGTCTCTGGAAAGGAAGGTTGTTGAAAGGGAGGGACCTCCATAATGTGTCGCAGACGCACCGCTCCCAAGCGTCACACATCAGTAGGAATGACTCTGACTGTGAGGTCGAACGTGATATCTCTCACAAGGTGATCATGCATTCCAACAAAAATTCCCAGAAGGC